CCTAAACCCTAAACCCTAAGCGCCTGCGTTCTTCGAGGAGGCCACGCTGTTGGACCACTGGGGCGTGTCCTTGTCGAGGCTGCTGCGCCAGAAAGGCACATGTCCACTCAGGCCTGCAGGGGTGGCATAAGGGCCTTATATACTCAGAAGAGGCTTACTTTGCAGGTTCTATAAGGGGCTCTAGGACCTTAAAGGTTTTGGGGGTTTCTTAACGGTTTTCCTTTAAATGGGAACCAGTACCAGTAATGATTCAGGCTTCAAAATTACTTCGGGAAGCCACAGGGGCTCGCCAAGGATCTGCAAGGTTTCTGCAAGGATTGGGTGCAAGCGTGTTGTAAGAATTCTTGTGCAAGGCGTTTTTGTGCGTTTCAGATTGTTGCGTATGGGATTCCTGAACACTGGGTGCTCGGTTTAAAACCACATTTACCAAAGTTCTTCGCTTGCTCTTAGGAGACGCTTTGCAACCCTAAACACAAACCCTAACTCCAAAACCTCAAACCCAAAACCCTGAAACCCTAAACCCTGAAACCCTGAACCCTGACCCCCAACTCCCCTATAAACCCAAACTCCCGAACCCTAAACCCTGAACCCTAATCCCCAACTCCCCTATAAACCCAAACTCCCAAACCCTGAAACCCTAATCCCCAACTCCCCTATAAACCCAGACTCCGAAACCCTAAACCCTGAAACCCTGAAGCCCTAATCCCCAACTCCCCTATAAACCCAAACTCCGAAACCCTAAACCCTGAAACCCTAAACCCTAACCCCCAACTCCCCTATATAAGCCCAAACTCTTACAACCAAAACCCTTAAACCCCCAATCCCTATAAACCCAAACTCCCAAACCCTAAACCCTGAACCCCTAAACCCCCAACCCCTATAAATCCTAAACCCTGAAACCCTAAACCCTGAAACCCTAAACCCTAACCCCCAACTCCCCTATATAAACCCAAACTCTTAAAACCAAAACCCTTAAACCCCCAATCCCTATAAACCCTAATCCCTAATCCCTAAACCCTAAGCCCTAAACCCTGAAACCCTAAACCCTGAAACCCTATTACCTATAATCCCCCAATTCCCCTATAAACCCTAAAACCCTTAAACCCCCAACCCCTATAAACCCTAATACCTATAACACCCAACTCCCTATAAACCCTATAATCCCCAACTCCCCTATAAATCTAATACCCAAACCCCCAAACTCCCAAACTCCCAAATCCAAAACCCTATAACCCCCAACTCCCCTATAAACCCGAATACCCGGATCAGGGCTTCCCGGCCTGGCAAGGGCTCCGGAAATTGGACCATGCCGGGAGGGCACTGCACCTCGGACGGCTTAGGGTTTAGGGTTTAGGGTTTAGGGTTTAGGGATTAGGGTTTAGGGATTTAGGGATTTAGGGTTTAGGGTTTGGGGTTTGGGGTTAGGGCT